CAAAAACAAGACTCCTTCAAAAAGAGTAATAAAAAACTTGACAGCCTACTGGATTTTTATCACATCAAAAAAGAAGGGGGAAAAAAAGAGTCAAGCTCATTAATTACAAATACATTAGACCTGGAGCAAGAAACTCCTAATTGTCAAAACATAGTCCCAAGATGCTTGCCTTATCTTAATTAAGCACAATGTAGACTAATATAAAGCAGAGCATCTACCTAAACTTCCTGCCACACAGTGAATTTCAGCCTAGGCATATAAAACTATTTGAAATTCTCTGCATCTTGCAAAATGTACTGAATAGTTGTCAGATTTCTGCATAAAGCATTTCAGACAAGGCTTGAGAAGTTAAGAGGCTCATTTGTAAGTATTTTGCAGAGGATGGGATACTTTGCTGACAGGAATGAAAGTGGAAATCTTTACTTTCACAGTATTATTTTAAACCATACCAAAACACACTTTTGACTTTCTTCTTGCCCCAACATTTGATAGGAAATATGTGAGAAATGAGCCTCACATCAATTTATCGTGTTTGGACAATCACTGTATATGACAGTATAGCATCAAGCTGTTGTTTCGTTGCAAGAAAGAATTTAAAAAGAAAACAGGGTAAAAGCCACAGGCACTTAGGTACTTTATCAAGGAAAAAAATGGATTATGAGTAGTTTTTTGCCTTACTATGCAATACTTTCTATTTCTATACTTTGTATCTCTTCATCAGTAACAGTAACAATACTCCCTCTTTACTTAGAAAAACTTTCAAATAAGGTTTCTCTCTTCACCAGTAACAGTAACAATACTCCCTCTTAGAAAAACTTTCAAATAAGGTTTCTGAAGAAAAGATTATTGTAGGCTTCAATTTATATCAGTTTGGGTGGTTTACTCCTAAGTTTGTCTTCCCACTTCAATGTTATTTGGTAGTGCATTGGCAGTAAGAACATAACTTACATACATTCCTAATATGCTTCTAGATGTTATATATAGTATATATTTCAAAACTTAAAAGGACAAATCTTCCACATCATAATCATTTCAAGGCAACATGCTCTAAAAAGACCTAAAAATACCTCTTAAGCCAACTACAAGCATAATGGTCATTTAAAACCATAAACATGAAGGGACAAAGCATGTAGCAGCATGTATTACGAACAACAGTAAATGCAGTGTGCACATTTCTTGACAATAAAGACCCTTTTCAAATTTCAGGAAACTACATTCTTCTGCTACATATTCTAGAAATTTCCTACTATATGAATTTTTTTTTTAATGTGTAGTAATCTATGATACCAGACATCAACTCCAGTTTATGGTCATTACATCAGCTCCTGTTTGCAATACTATTTTAAAAACAGAACATGCAGCCTCAATTAGTCTGTTACTATTCTGCACTCTTGTCTTGAAAAATGATCATTTGATTTGAACAGTCTATTTGGCACATAGTTCATACCTTCACTTCATTAATTGTCAAGTGCGCTAGCTAGGTATTAATACAATCTCATGCTGGCATTTGATTGCACAAAGTTGATGGTTATTCTTAAATCTTTTCCTACAAAGCAAAGCTTTTGTAGGAAGCAATAAAAAAGTCTAAAACTTTGAATTGCAGGCAAGGCCAAAAATGTTTATATTCACATTTAACTTAGGATGATCTGAAATTTGTTTTTGAATCTGTCTAGTAGTACATGAGAAATCTTTATGATTTGAGTGCTGCAATTCTTAAGGAGTGATCATTGTCTTATTGCTGATCCATAGAGCATTTAACACGTTTTTGCTGAATTTGCTCACATGTGCACATATTTCCTATAGTTGAAACTGCTAGATTTCATTCAGAATAATATACCTCAGGGACATTCCAGAGTTATTTTTCTAGATATCCCAGCAAGACTACAAATACTGAGAGGAAGGATGATGAAATCGGTCACTGTGAGGTAAAAGGAGGCATTTGTCTTGAATGCTGCAGCCCACATTCTGAAAATGTTTGAGACTCCCTTCCCTCAAATTAAAAGGACCAAAGCACCACAAGTAGACAAACTCAAGCGACATTTGTAGTATATTCAATTTAGCCATTAAAAAAAAAAAGTCCCATCCAGCAACAGTGCCATATATAAATCTTGCTACAATCGAAATGCACACCCGAAGGAAGCATATTATCAGGTGAAACTTTCGGCTTTATTTCTATTGTAATTACATTTTGCATCCCAGGCCCAAACTCAACCATTCTAGCTTCCAGAAGCTATCAGTAATTATGTTAAATTTAATCATTGTGCAAATCCATTTTCCCACCTAGACACCAATTACAATATTTGACTGGTATTTTCATGAGGACGTAAGTGATTGAAAAAATCAATGGGACTTGTTCTCTTAAGTCACTTAAGACCAGCTATTAACGGCACTTCGGTGTCTAGAGATCAAGACAGACACAGATACCTGGTGGGACTTTCACGATACTCACCTCCCACTGAAATCTCATCCTCTTAACTTGCTTATCCAGGCTATTAGATAGTTTAATTAATGAGTGATGCAAGTGCTTTGTATGGTGTTTCATGATACTTAAGAAAGAGGCATGTACCCTGAAAGCACTTTTATTCAGGCCTCCCGAATGCTTTTGTTCATAGCAATTATTGCGACCTGCAGGGAGGCAAGAATTTTGAAAGAAAGTGAATTAAAAAGCCAGTTTAGGAGTAACATGGCATACCAACAGCATCATCAGGCACGAGAGCTGGAGGATAAATTCAGGGAGGGCAAAAAGGTGACTTTATTCTAGCCTCCTCAATTCGTGCTTTTATTCTTGAGGTTGTTAACAACAACAACAAGCTTTACTAAAGCATAGTTCTGCCAAACTGTTAACAAATACGATAAACTCAAATCTCCACGAATGCTATGGAACTGATGGGCTCTAAATAAAAAAGTAATCACCTTTTGTTACTTCTAATTTTCTACACTCATCAAGACTGAGCAGTAATGAGGTAGTAGTATTATATTATAGCCTTCCCATAACATCCTGGTCTGTATGAATTCTCTTGTATCTCTCATGCGTATTCATTTAGAAATAGCATTAAATAACGAACTTGATAGAGAATGGATTTGTTCTATTACATTGAAAGAAACCTTAACCTCTGCCCTGCAGTGAGATCCTACAGCCAAAATTTTGATTTAAGAGCTGGAATTGCTTTATAGGAGCAATGTTCGTTGCTTTTTTTAGTTCTTCTTTAAAGACTTGTAATGAATTATCTATTCTGTGTAAAATGTACTTGTCAAACTTGTTTCATTCTGGAACTTCCAGTTGCACATGTATATAGTACTATTTTTTTCTAGGTAACTTTGAGCTGTAGACAAAGAATAGGGTAGCATAGTGTTCTCCAAGTCCTGAAACCACCATGATTTGCATGAAAAAGGCTATTTCGATAACATCCTGGACACTAGCAGGACGATTTGCTACAAGCTTACCAATTCTGTGGACATCTGATAAAGCAAGTTAGAGAACAGACTGTCAGGTACATACTTGAATTATTCATTTTAGGTGAAGTCTCAAACAGGGGCACTTAATCTGCTATATTTAGAAGTTTAGATTGACAGCCTGTTAAAAGAAACTATTTCTTTGCACTTGTCTAGTAAAACAGCTGGTTTATAAAATATTAAAATTAATAATCCAAAATGAAATTCATTGTTGTTCCTGAGGAAAAAAAAAATCTGTATGACAATCTTTCTCAAATATGCTTGAAACTATATTGCCACCTACTGTCTCAAATAGAAACCCAAAGCAATTCTGTTTGACATTTTGTTAAAAATGATGTGAGCATCTTAAAATCATGAAGGATCAAGTAGGGTCAACTCTCTTTCAGTTTTGCTTGAGCAAAAAATGGCCCAGATGGAAAGAGATGAGCAAATAAGATGGAAATGGCTACTGAAGATGGCTTAGCTAGCCCCTTGCCCATGATGGGAGCCAACCTGTAGCAGCCCTTTGCACACAACCATGAGCTGGAGAGGGTTGGGATGGAATCACACACAACAGATTTACGATAGCGAATGTCAACCATCCAAAGGCACTTATTACAGATGCAATGCTGAAAAATACTGTGAATGCTACAAGTTGACTTGGAAGAAGGAACGGTTCCCTCTTCGGCACCACTTCAGCCAAGAGGCAACTGCCTACAGAACAGCAGAACTCAGCCTCTCTACAGTTATGTTATGCTTCAATTAAATTATGCAGGGTGCTGAAAGAAGTGGACCACGTGGTTCAATTTTATTAAATTATTTCTAGTATTTCGAGCCTAAGTAAAAACAACGTGAACTAACGGCTTCGTGCACGGAGCTAAGGAAGCGCCCCCCCCGCCTCGGCCGCACTCCGCAGTGTGCGAGCAGCCCATTGGCCGGGCTCCGCCGCCGCGGGGAGCCTATCGGCGGGGGGGCCCACCCGCGGGCGGGGTCAAAAAAAAGCCAAGGGCACCCGGGAGGGAGCCCCCAGGGGCCGGGAAGCTGCGGCGCTGCCTTGGTGCCGCCTCCGGCCTTGGCTTCAGTGCACAAAGGAGACTTTTAATAAATAAATAATAGTAAATATAAAGGTGGACACTCGTTCCCTCAACTGCCTTGTGCCCTTTTAGCAGCTGGGATTAGTTTCCAGCACTGCTGCCATGTCAACGAGCAAGCTTTATGCAAATTGCATGGAAGTTTGAGATGGCTAAGGATGAAAACAAAATCAGAGGCAACCTGATTCGAGACATGCATTACTTTAAAAATCGCCAAGAGTGACGTTGTGAACTTACCAAATTAATGCATGGAATAAGGAAAGCCGTTTGATTATTTTATGCACATACCTAACTGCAAAATTTAAAGAAATCACAAATAACACTTCTGATTTTTTAAACCTTTACAGTAAAATTTGTTCTACTTAAAAGTAAACTATGATACTGTACGGTAAAACAGAATTTTGGTTTTACTATTAATGTGAGAATGTTATCATTAGCAGTCATTCAATAGTTCAGATTTTTCTTTCTTGTTTTTACAGAGATGGACTGAAGCTTGAAACTGAAATATTGGATGGAAAGCCTAGACTAATTTTAGCTTCTTACGGTATTTTTAAAATTATTTTATCAAGTAGTCTTTAAAGGGCTTTAACTTAAGATCTAAATCTTACAACTTGATTCTTTCCCCATCTTTGGTTTTTCTTTTGTGCCTAGAGAGACCATTATAGATCCTTATAGATGGGCATACATCATTTGAGGATATCAGTAACTTTGCTCTACTCTGCTTAATTTACAGAAAATTGCCTCTTATCAGTAGTTACACAGCTGCAAAACAATTCAGGTGATTAATAAATTCTAGATCTTTCATTTGCTATACGTATGCTTATCTGCAAGCCTAAATCCCCTTTCCACCATTCTGCATACAAGTCGGGATGCAGAAATTCTCCATTTTGATGTGTTCTGAAATGCATGTCATTTCTCTGTGTTTACTAGATGCCTGTCCAGCATACAGGATATTTTAAGTCAATAAAAAAATACCAATGTACCAGAAACAAAACCTTACAACACTCCCATACAGGAGTGCCACAACTTTAACTGTAGCAAAGATCATTTGGAGGACAAGGCCAGTGCACATTCTAGGGTGCCTTTCTATTGTGTGATAAAGCATTAGCCTTGCGCCTTGGACAAGCAGTGTTCCCGAATAAAAAATTATGTTTATACAACTGATTTCAGGCAGTTACTTTAATAGGGTTTTATCAAAAATTCTTTCAAAATGCATTGCTTGTGAGTTTCCGTTTTCTGCCATGCCAAATTCTGCACATGTTTTTAGGGGCTCAAGTAGGATTATTCTGTAGTAGCTTAAGCTGCGGTATATTTTTTCTTTTCAAGAGCAAAGAAAATAACCCATAAACATTACTTCGGAGCTCCCAGTGTTTAGATACCTCCACATTATCAAAGCAGTGGACCTGCTTATATTTATCCTTTCCACAGAGAGATGTGGTTCACATGCGTTTGAATTCCACCTTAATTGAATTCTTAATTGGTAGAAAAAAGCCAAAAAGTGAATTACCTATTCAGATGAACATTGAATGCTTGAGAACCCGAGGAAAGAGCCCCAAAACACTTACTACTGAAACATCAAAATGGTGCAAGGTTTAATGCCTGTCTTCACAGGACAACAGTTAGCATAGCATACTTCCAAGTTAACTAGTGTTTATCTAAATAGCAAGTAAATGATAAATATTATTTAATGACTAGATTAGGTATTAGAATCGGTTTCAAAAGTACTTAATATCTTTGAGATTGTTACCTTTAGGTGTAATTTGGCTTGCAAGACTGAGGAGTTTAGGAAATGGATAGAGGAAACAATAAGAGATGGAGTAATAATGCAAGTCCTGTTTCTTTAGCACTGGGGAACAAGTTACATTATATAATAGAACGGTGCTGGATGCAGGGACTATCCTGGAAGGATATGTCACAGAACAAAATCACAGTGAGAAAACAGTTAGAAATAAGCCCTTTACACAGTGGTGGTGCTGAAAAGGGGAATGAATAGGAAGGCAGGATGAGACTGGCACAGTAGTTCAATTAGATCTGTATACAACTGTACACAGTTACTGGAATACATCTAGTTGTTTCTCAACATGCCTTTGAAGTAGGTATACTGAAATATATTTTAAATAGTATAAATAATAGAGAATAATTGGGGCAGATGTTATGGCAAAAAGTTTTTGTTGTACAAAAACAAATGTAACAGTTTATGAATTCCTCAAGATACATTTTTTCAGGAGGACATTATTAAACACTTCACTCATGTTCATGTTTGTTTCCCTAACAGGTACATCAAAACCCGCAGTGAAGGTAAATGGAAAAATAACTTCGTTGTTGAAACATACATAGTTAGACTAGTTAATTTATTCACACAGTTAAAAACACCTTTGAAGCATCTCAATATTTGCAATCAATGTTGTTTATGAAAAATTGATGTTTATTTCTCAGGTTCATAACAACTGTTAAAAAGAATAAATTCAAAGTTCTGTGAATTACTTTAGGAAAATGCTTTAGCTTAGCTTGTCAAGTTAATACAGGGGATCACTTAAATGATAAGTTTAAGAGCTCTCAGAGAAACTCTGAAAAAAAACAGAATATTAGAGTATATTCAAATGTCTACTCAGTTGTGCAGGTCATCCTTATCTGAACAAATTGGAATGAAAGGAGTGGGGAGATAAAAAGCTGAAAAAGGTTTCAATACCTAGGAGATCATTACACATGTACAAAGAGGCCGCTGAGAAAGGTAACACCATTTAGGACAGGATGGAAGAATAGAGATTCTGTTAGTATGGGCTGTATTGTGAAAATATAGCACATTTTCAGAAATACCAAAGAAAAGGAGTGAATGTTTGAATTTTTAACATTATGCTACATGAGACTAGTTTTCAAACTCCTGCCTCTAAATATTCCAGTATAGGTACCATCCTCATCTTAGTTATTTCATTTTTACTGAATTATTTTTTGTTGATGTAACAAATAGAAAAAAAGTGACACTTACTTTAATTGTTGCTTCAGCACTGAGTTTGCTACCTTTGTGAAGTTATTAAGGTCTGGTGTAATGTTACTGTTTTAACAGATGGGTAATAAAGCCAGAGTCACTAAACATGCCTTGAGAATAAGGCACACCGAGCATGTTCCGAGGTCAACACAGAATGCCCTTATCCAGCATGAAAGCTTAACAAAACCAAGAAGCACATCAAGTTTATCCATGACAAGATGTGATAGACTGCTAGTTACTGCAAATAACTCCTCACATGAAGCCCCAACTAAAGATAACTCTTTGATTTTCCAAAGAGATAACAACAGCAGAATGCTTGATTCGGAGAATCTTGATGTTAAAAAAAGCAAACAGAAAACTCAAAATGCACATACATCAGCTGAAGACCTAAGAAAAAGCTTGGTGTGTTTAACACAAGAGCAGCTTGAACAGATTTTGATGACTGTAAAAGAAGGAACTAGAAGTCTCTCTGAAGTTCATAATGAAAAGCAAGAGGAAATGGGTAAGATTCATCATCCTTCAAAAGTGAAATTTTCTTAAGATAGTTGAGGAAGTTTTATGTCATGGAAAATGTGAAAACTTAACTTTGTGTTCATAATTTACAGCCTGTAGAGTTGTTACTCTACAATGATCTCAACAAAATACCATCTGCTGTAAAATTGCCTACTGTTTTTAGAAATCAAGTATTTAATAATTTTAACAGTAAAAAGTAAGCCTGAGAACTGCTAATGCGTCTTCTCACGTTGTATCCTTCCTCCTATTTCTGAACCAAGGGAAGTCTTTTCTTTGTCATCAAGAACAAGATACATTTCAATTACAATTACCAGAGTCACCAAACTCTCCGCTCTTAGCCAAGATTGTTTATTATCTGTAGTATTATAAAATATTCTGTGGTGTAGTCTATACACCTTAGGCATACAAGATAAATTGAAAATAGTTTTGCTAAATAGTGAGGAAATTGCAAGTTTCTGCTCTTACTATTTACTCAGTGCCAAAGAAAGTTTAGTAGACATTAATGAACCTATCATGTAGGCTGTCTACAATTTACTTAAAGACTAAATATAAATTCTGCTACAGCTACTGACAAGACATCAGAGGAAAACACTATCACAGTGCTCCAAAAAGCTGGTGAAGCTTCATCCGTTCCACATGAAGCAAGTTCCAATTCAAGCAGGAAACAAGAAGCATATCCACAACCAGGACAGAAAGCTGTTATGTATGTAGATCTCTACTGTTGATTATCTACAAAAAAATGTGTCTGTACCAGAGATTCTTAATGTAATTTATAATCATAGTAAGAATCTCTTTAATTAGCAATTAAGAAATTGCATGTAAAATGAACAGATTGGCTTTTAAGATAAAATATTTTTTCTTCCCTGTTTTCCAGAAAGAATTCATGGAAACCTGCTGACATGTTTAGTACCTTGGGTGAAAGAGAAGGGGATAAAGCCTTATTAGAACTTAAAAAGACCCAGTGGAAGAAGGAATTAGGTACTTAAAAGTATAGAACACTTATTTCTGATCAATTTCTTATATTAAAGTAACAAAATGCCAAGAAACTTTGCATTCCCTAAACTTTTAAAAATCTACTTATATCACAGCCATTACGAATTGGAAAGCTATGTACTTTGTCAGGCTACAGGACTGATTAAATTTGCTGAATTTGAAAATTCTACTCAGACAAGAACACTGATCACATCATCACGATAGTCCAAAGCTGATATAAAAACAGGAAGAATTTATTTACTTACTTGGTTATTTCTGATGGTTTTCTCTCTCTTCCTGGGTTATCTGTAAACCTTCACCATTTCTTAATCTTCACAGAGAGACTGCCCAATTACCAGGGACTAATCAGCCATCCTGTCTGAGAGCAAAATTATCTTTAGACTGCCTGGTCAGACAATTGTGACTTCCTTTTGTAATCAATTTTCCAATCAAAATTATAGACATGCATTGTTTTTTTCTGAAATGCTGTTACCTGTGTATACTGAAAAATTTTAATAGAGTTTTTGTTTGTTTGTTTGTTTAAAAAAAAAAAAAAAAGATGAGCAGGTAGCTCTGAAGAAGAAACTAAAAGAAACTTTGGAAGGAGAGGTGACTGATTTCTGGAAGAGACCTGGCAGTGATAAAATCTATATAGAGAAAATGGAAACAGCTGACCCAGATAAGGTAGGCTAGCAGTAAGCACAAAAAACAATCTCACTAATTCCTGGTTGTATAATTATTTCCATTGCTTATTGTTTTTCACCAATAACTCTGCTTGTTTACATTTTAATAAAGCATATCATTTGCTTTTTACTGTAACCAGCCTTTTTAAGTATGTCACTCTGAACTTGCTGTAAGCAAGATAAATATACTCAGATGAGAAGGCTTCTCCTACAAAATTGATTGCTATTGAACAGAGGTTTATGGTTGTAACTACTGTCAGTAACTGCAGTAAAAGCAAATTGCTTATGTGGCCTACTCAGCATTCCTAGAAATTTCCATTCTTGGCCCCATAAGAATTTGTCTCGCTCCACAGAAATACTAGATACCAGATTCATAGCTACAAGTTTTGGCTTAAGTTTTAATGAATAGCAGCTTTTACAAATATAATTCATTACATGTTAAAGGATATTCTATGCAAACAAAACAGGACAGCTAAATAAGTCTTAAACCACAGTGGTCACTGTTTGCAGACAGTGTTTCCAGCTGATTCAGTTACTACTATTGATGAAAACTGTAGAACTATTTTAAGCACAGAGGCTAATGAAGTTCCACTCAGTGTTTCAAGTGGTCCAGCTGGGCAGTGTTCATATTTCAGTTCTTCTGACTTACCAACTGTCAATTACACAGCACTTGTGTCCTAACACAAGATTTTAAATTGCGTGCAGTTTTTTTTTTTTTTTTTTAATATATGATTTAACAGGCACGTATCTGCTGTAGTTCTTTTAAGCCAAAATAATTCAGTAGACTTGCCTTTTGATTCTCTGGAGTACTTTATCTAAATGAATTATCCTCAAAATAATGACACTGAAGAAAGCATTTTCAGGGCTGAGCTATAGCATTGGAGGTGTGAACTGCAGCGTTACATAGTTTTTAAGTGTAGATTAAAGAAATAGAGATATGGGAATATACTAGAAATAGAAGACTACTTTAAAATATATCAATTGCATACTATTCCAGATATAGTTTTCAATTATTTCTAGTAGATACTCCTAAGAGGCATGATTTTTGTCTGTTTGCATTGAAAACTGTCAGTGCCACTGGAGTATAAAGTTTTTAAGTAATATAGATACATAAGTAGGAACAGAAGAAAGAAGATGGCATCTATCATATACTGGAAGCAGATCACTACTAATTAGATAACAATGCTGATTCTGCCAACAGTGCAGACTGAGCTGTGAACTATAGCAAGAAGAGAAAAGTATTTTTATTCTGATTGTATATTATGAGGTATAGTTCAAGCTAGAATAATAGCTTGAGCTTATTTAACAGCTTTGGTTAAACTGAAGCACTGTTTTAGAAGTGTCACAGTTACAAACTTACAGGCATTGCTTTCGTAAAATAGCAGCCAGGTTAGGCCTAGTAGTTGAAGACAAAACTTTCTGCCTTTTTGTGGCTATACAAGGCACTAACACTGTGATACAACTAAGTGACTTTTATCTATCTTACCCTAGGAAGCTGCACCACAGGAACAACCTTTAAGTGCTGTGAAACATGAGCAACAGAAAGAGTGGACTGAAGAGTTAGAGAAAGAGAAGGAAGAAGTTAAGCTACAAAAAGAAAAACTAATTATATCAAAGGTACCTGCAGATTAGAATGATGTTTTGAAGTAAGAAGTCTTTACTACATCAGCTTTTCTGTCATTCTCCCCGCCCCACCCCCAGTCAAACCATATCTCTTACAGTCCTTATAAAAAGTCCACAAGATTTGTTTTTTTAATATAAAGTAACAAGAAGTGCCAGAACTCAGCCAGTTCAAACAACTTGCTGTCACTTTTTGAAAGAGGAGACATGAAAAAAAAGCAAGTTCATTGGCATTCAATGATGCAGACTAAGTAGGCTTCATTAGAAACACAGGCTCCAAGCTTATCCAGGTGATAATACTTGTAAGCAGTACAGCACAGCTGAGATTTTTCTTGATTACAAAAACTAGTTCTCTACTCTGAATAGTTTCTGAGAGGAAACTCACCTGTAACTGTCCAATGATTCAGTTGCCTATTCTATCTTCAGGTGCATCCCATATGTTTTTTTCAGGTCTCATTAACACCTCATTTGTTTTGTTGCCATCATAGCATCTGATTCAAATTGATTTTATTACCTCCGAGACACAAGGATAACATTTGAGGCCTAATCAAGTAGTGGAAAAAAAAAAAAAAAAAAAAAAAACCTCCATAACATCCAGGATTTCAGCATAAGCCTTTAGGACACTTTAACAAAGCAGTCAGCTAATAACTCTTCCAGTATTTGGAAGGCAAGGAACAGTCTGCCCTGTGTCTCATGTGCTGTTTAGGGAGCATGCTGCAGAGATAAAAGCTTGGTGGTGTAACCGTGCTTTGTTGTTATTCTTTTTTGTTTGTTTTTCCTTCCTTAAGAGCTGGAGGCACTAACTTTTGAAGGGTGTGGTAGCAGTGCTGGCCAGACACTACTTTGTAAAAATAAATTTTTAGCAAATTAATAACATTATGATAGCCAAGAATGGTCAGTATACCTCTTACCCTGGAGGTTTTCATACAGAGGCTCATTTACCAAAGTTTACATGCTTAAATACAACGCACTGACAGAGTGAAGTCTGATCAGAAGGGCAGAGAGTGTCGATAGGACTAGACAGGAAATTTCTGACCCAGTTTCCTAATAGAATATTTTTCTCTAATCTAAAACATCCATAAAACAAAGTTACTTTCCTTTTCTGTGACTTTGGATTACTATTACACTGATAGTAATCAATTTCCTTCCTTTTCATAACTAGACTGGTGTTCTAGGGGTGCTCCTTCAGGGGAGCATAGGGCTCATTTTATGTTTTTCACTCCCTGCTGTCCATCCCATCTATCATGTTCCACAATGTTGCTAGGCAAAAAGGTTGTTTACCAAAATTTGCCTGAAATGGACATTCACAACCTACAGCCTACTGAATTAAAGGCTGAGTTTTTTACTTCCAATTTAACAATTTACAAATTTTGATATAGCAGTTAATTTCTTGAGAAAGAAATACTTAATTTTAATTGCAGAATTTATCACACTAGAAGAGGGCTTCTTTCTCCATCCCCTCAAAAATCTTGGTGCCAAGATTGGTTACCTGTTTACACACAACATCAGTCCTCCCCAAGCTGCTGAAGGAAACAGATCTATTTTGCAAATGGAGTTTTATAGCTGTGAAAGGAGCTCAGGTGTGAAACATTTCATCATTAGCTGCCTTGTTTTCTAATTAGATCTCCTTGTTGTTGAGAGATGTTTACAGTCACCAATGAGCCACCATTGCAATTTCACTTCTAACCTTTTTTTTTTAAAAAAGGAATTTTTAAACATTTAATTACTTTTTCTTTGGTGTCCTCGTTTTTTTAATATGTGTGTGTGTGTGTGTGTGTGTGTGTGTGTGTGTGTGTGTTGTTACACTCTTATCCCTTTTGCATATTATACCCCAGGATTACATAAGAATAAAATACATTTCCTCACAACGCTGATCTGGTCTTTCATAAAAAGCAGAGAAAAAACTCAAGGAACAGCAGGCAGAATCAACTGGATTCTTATTACTTTGGACCTTCATTTTCTTGTCTCTTTCAAAATAGATGTAAAGCTTTTTGACAATTTTGTTAAGAGGGGAATTATTCCCAAAACCTTCAAGTTAATGTGTTTGTTAGTTTCTATTTCACAGAAGGCAAATCTTGAAGGAATGGTCCCTCCAGAAAAAAAAAAAAAAACAGTCTTTTTAGTCAGAAGAGAAAAATCTTCTCTATATGTATAGTAAAACCTTAGGTAAAATCTTAATATTTTTGATAGAGGTACCTTAGAATGCTCACATGCCAACACTGAACTAAGAAAGTCCAGGTGTAAAAGGAAGAAGGGAGATTTAAATCTGAGATGTCACTTCTGTGAAAATTCTATGAAAATTCTTCCATAAAATAGTTTTTTTGTGTGTGTTTGTGTTTATTTGAAAATAATGGTTGGCGTGGATGGAAAAGATCCCGAAAAAGAACTTACTTTATAACAGGCAGGCCTGTCCAGCTGAAAATATGAAATAGGAGAAATAGGAGCATCTCTGGTATAAAAGTAGGCCCAGAGTTAATACCTAAGATAAGACAGTAGTCCCGAATCACAATAATCCTGCTACTGTCCAGAATCAAAATTCAAGCCAAGATAAAAGATCTAATTTGTTTGTGTCACTAGAGAGAGAATATGAAATTGAATAGTAATAGCTTGAATAATTGAATAGAAAAGCCTGAATTCAACTTCATTAAAATTTTGATTATTTAATTTTTGCACTTCCTAGTTGCTGGAAAAGTAGACGTTCTGATAATATAGTATTGACATGTTATTGCTGATAAAGTATATCGATCAGCAGTGTAATTTCTGATTTGATTTGTATTTTAACAACAAACTTAGTGACTTTGTTTTTTCTGTTCAGGGAATTAAATCCTGTGTGCGTTATAGCTCAATAATAGAGGTTTCAAATGTTCCAGTTGTACAAAATGTGTATTGTCTATTTTGTTAATCATACTTTACATAAACAGTGTAATTGAGTCCATTTCTGTGTTCTGTTGTTCGTGTTTGTTTAGGCTGAAGAGCATGACAGATGGGCAATGCATTTTGATTCTTTAAAGAACCACCTCGATGCTAATGCACAACACCCCTTAAATGGAGCGTACAAAAAGCAGCCTGAAATTCTTTGCCCATCACCTGATCCTAAGGAGCTGACTGCTTTTATTCACCCTTTTTCAGCTGCAGCTTTAGGCAACCTCATGCCCTCAAAGGTGGAAAATGCCGAAAAAGCTGCTAAAAACAGTCCTGCGGAACACAGTCAGAAAGTCAGGTGAGTGAGCTTTGTAAGAACAATCATCTTCTCAGTCAATTAATTTCGTGAATCTATCTCCTTGAAACTTAAAACATATTTGAAAAACATTCTGCAAATCTGTAAACGTTACTCTTAGGTAACATTTTTAGGTTTTGGTATTCAGAAACACTTTTCGGTTTTAAGGAAGATACTGATGTTTCTATTGTTCACTAATAAAGTTTACTGCAGATAGTATTACTTTGTTCTTACTACAACTGATTTCATAATAGTAACTTTATAAAATCTGAGAGTCTGAATTTGAAAATACTGTTTGAAATTTGAAGGTTTGGGGATTTTTTTTTTTAATTAAAAAATTCAAATGTTTCTTTGTTCATAGTTTCCTTCGTTCAATGACAGCTCTCCTAGATCCTGCCCAGATTGAAGAGAGAGACAGAAGGCGGCAGAAACAGTTAGAACACCAGGTAAACCTCTGTTTTAAACTCAAATGCTATTTTAATGAAAAGAATGGATGAAAAGTAGTGTTGTTGTATCTTTAGAGATGTAGTATCGTTAGAGCTGTAATGGGGTTTGTGCGCAGCTCTTCTGCAGTCTACTCTGATCGATAGGACTGATGTTCGGAGACATATAGTCTGTGACTTTCAAAATTTTACCTGTTTTACTGTCATATATATTACTCTACCGCACTCTAATTGTATGTAAATCTTCATTAAGATGTCTCTAGGGTAATGTAAAGAAGTCTTACAATCAAACTGTTACTCTTTCTAGATCAACGTATTAGCTTATAATACATAAGCTAAAAATCAGACCACCATTTCCTTACAAAAATACCATCACAGAAAGCTACTTCATTTGTATCTTAGCACGTCACCTCCCAACTGCTCTTGGGAGCTGGTGATTTTTTAATGGGAACAATAAGACAACTACTTAGCTTGTGAGAAATAGGAAAAAAAGGAGTATTTGAAATAAATTTTACTTAGTAGAATATCTAATTTGTACGTATTTAAATATGTATATGTGTGTGCGTGTGTTTTAATTTTACTTTTTTAATTATAATGCTAGAAAGCAATAATGGCTCAAGTAGAAGAAAAGCGGAAGAAGAAACAACTGGAGGAAGAGCACAGGAAATGGGAAGAGCAAGAGGAAGAACAGCGTCTAGCCCGGGAAAGAGAACTAATGCAGAAACAATTTGAAGAAGATATGCTGAAGCAAAAACAAAAGGAAGTGGGTTTTTGCATTTTGTTTAGTGCAAATAAATGGAAACTTACTGACTTGTCTGTACTTAGTAAAATTAGATATTGTGAATAGAGGTAAGACCCATGAGGTGATCACTGCTGAAATACTATTTTCATATACTATTTTTAACTGCTGTGAAAAGTGGCATCATATTTTGAAACTATGAAGGGGATTTTGCTATGTGTCCATTACAATTAATGCAATTATTATGAAGTACGGAAAAATCTCCTTCAAAGTTTCAAAACGGTAATCAGACTTATAGAACTCTGTGATAAAGGTAGTTTCTGAGAAGAATGGTATAATTGTCAACTTGCACTTCAGAAATAGTATTTCTTCATCTTTTTGAAAATAAAAACTATTTGTACTTTAGATATTTGAAACAGAAATGTGTTTCCTCAGTCATTATACTTAAAATTACATACTAATTAAAGGCAGGTTTTTGGACAAGGCCTTTGTCCTTGTCTCCTTTTTAGGGAGAGAAATGGATTACAACAAGCAGAAATTCAGTTGTAATTTAAAATAATGCAGAAATGTGATTAATAATTTTAAGTACAAAAAATGACACATCCGAAAGTATGCAATGGAAGTACTTGAGTTGATGATTTTAAGATGCTTCAGTGCCAGAGCAGTAACTGACTGGGTGTGATTTTACTGTGGATTAAAGATTTTTTCAGAATATATTTTGGAAAAGTCAGAAAAAGAAAAAGCCCAGGCATGTTCTAAGGTTAACTTCACAAAGCTCTAGCTGCTCATTTTAAACTGACAGTAACCTTCTTGACCTGTGACTGCACATTTTGCTTTTTATTACCTTCTTGCTCCTTACAGACGGGCTCATCTGATGTTTTACTTTCCCTTTTGGCACAATAGCAGCTTTCAGTGTTTTTTTCCTTTCTAGAACAGTAGGAGAATTCTGTGTTGCTGAACAGCGATGCTCCCTCCCCTAGAACTGCAGCAGTACTGGATCAGTTTGTTTCTATGAATTTGCTGGAGGGAGAGATGTAGCCTCTGTCTGTAGATAGGAGAAGAAATGACTAAAAATTGGGGAAGTCGTTTTTCCTGTAGCTCCTTCAAAATGCATCCTGCTCTCAACTGTTTTTCTTTCCACCTGCAAATGCAGTAGGGAGGTGGGATAAGATGATAGTGAAGTTTTTTTAGAGGAATAACTGCTGTGGAGAGAGAAAGTTTGGAAAGGAGGTTTTCCTTGGCCCAGACTCCTGAACCTTAAACCCATAGTTTAAAATGAGAAGCCTCAGATTAAGGGATATTTTGCCTTATTTTAGGGAGGCTTCTACTATCACCTTCCTGTGGACATAGGAGGAGGGAGATAGACATTTAATCCTGGCTTCTTTTAGTTTATTTAAAGCACATCGTACAGGAAATAAGAATATATGTAAACCTGAGGGAGTATGTGGAGATTGTTTAGCCCTGTTTATTTTACTCTCAGAATAAATTATGGTATATTTTTTATTATAGGAACTCATGACCCTTAAAACAAATGAGCTCTATCAGACAATGCAGAAAGCTCAGGAATTAGCACAGAGATTAAAACAAGAACAGCGCATTCGAGACCTGGCGCAGAAAGGACATGACATTTCAAAACTCCAGAAGAGTCTTGGTGGTGGCAAGTACCAATTTTTTTATATTCAGTTTGCCTGTTCTTTGACATTGGCACAAGTGTTGTCTTTCTTGTTTGTTTGCTTTTGTTGTTACAGTTTTGTTTTTGCCAGTCACAAAGTCTGCATTCATATTAGGACCAGAAACTGCTCCTTTGCTTCAGGAACCAAATTTCATTTCAGCTTATTTAAAGTTTTGCATGTTAACTGAGAATATGGTATGTTATTAAGCTTCAAGTGATACTTTTTGTAAGGAAGGGAAGGATATTATCAGAAATGCATATGGAATATTCAGACCTAAGTAATGTCAACTTGTTTTTCAACAAAACAAAAACAACAGTAGGAGCTGAATCATAGTTCTATCTTTGAGTTCAAAGACTACAATAACTTAATAACATGGTTTAAATATATATATATTTAATTTAGTCATGTGTTTATTTTTAGGTGATACTGTATTTGAAAATTATAATACTGTCATTTCACATCAAAGTCATAATTTTTCTAATGAAATTATCAGTAAAGTTGATCAGCAAACTTCTCCTCGGAAGGACACTGCTGTACAAACAGGTATGCAGCACTTTAATTAATAAAATAAATAAAATAATAATTTTAAGAATAAAAGCATGTTTGTGTAACTTTAGTTATAGACCGCTGTCAGAGTGGAACAAAACTAGAAAGGAATGCTTGGATGCAGGCATATTAGATTATCACAAGTAAAATATTCTTGCAATTTCAGTTAATATTGTGATATAAATGTTGGCAAAGAGCTTTGTTTGGATTTCTGAAAAAATCCTGCACAGTGGCTTGCTATCGCTGATTATATTCTAAATACATGATGCATTTACGTAGTTGTTACTTAGCTGTTACAAATTAAAATCAGCCAGTCTCATTCTGCTTTCAGTCACAGCCACAAGTTATGTAGAACTAAAATTCTTAAGGCACTTTAGCATATATTGTAATATTCTTTAGTCACATGTTTAAATAACATGCTCTGGTATCTAGCTGAGTTGCATTCCTAACGAATCCTTAGGTATATTAGAAGAAACGTTGTCAATAAATGTGAAATTAGAAAATAGAAAAGCCAAGACTTGACATTCAGACAGCTGTCTGCAGTTCCTGTTAAACAGCCCAAAATGCTGTGGGTGCATCTAAGTAGTCTGCCTTGCAGCCTTCCTCCTGGTGATGTATCACAGCACTAAGAAACCCAGATCAGTGTAATCTGGTAATGGAGTCTGTATCAGATGGGGTCTGTAAGAGCAGATTTAACACAAACATTCAGTCACTTTATGCCTTGTATTTAGAAGTGAAATGAATTTATTAACTTGTCATCACTTGAGAAGTGAAAGCTTTCTTTGATAGCTGTTGGCTTGAGCAAATTTCTTTTAACGGTGCTGATCGCTATTGGAAAACAAATAATGTGAAAATGAAGTTATTCGCAGTACCGTTGTGAATATAACCAAAGCATTATTGCTAAATAATTAAATAGAAGTTGTGTTTTGTTCTTTATTGGCTACTGAGGCAGAAACCGAACTCTACATTTTAACATAATGTAGTTTCCTTCTACTTAAATTTTTGTTGCACTGATTTGATTTTGTTCTACTTTTTTTGCTGTTTATTTTGTTTTCTGCTTCCACTTTGTAAATAATAAAAAACATTATAAGCTTGTAACAGTCATTTTTGAATATAATCCATAAGTAAGGATTGATGTGCAGACAGAAGTCAAAGAAGTCATTTGAATAGCTTATGTAGAGTTAAAATACATTTTTTTTAGATGACTTTATTATGTCAACGTATGCTCAGTCAGCTGAGGAAAGAACCAAGTGTTGCGGATCACCTGATATTTCCATAGAATATAAAGACACATCTAACAGCAAAAAATGCCAAAAAGAAATGCTCTGTACAGTTAAAAAGAAAATTGCAGAAGAGGAGAATGATGGCATTTACAATGATCTGTATGAACAATTTGCAAGAAAAGAAAGACAAGTTAAATCTATGGAAAAATGTGGCAAAAGACCTGACTGGAACATAAACAAACCTAGAAAAAGATACATTCCAGCATCAGAAAGATATCCTAAACAGTTACAGAAACAAAGGGAAGAAAACAAAGTAAGACGACAAATGGAGCTGCTTCAGTTGGTAGAGAGAAATACCCCTGGGAATCTCTGCCAGAAGAAGGGCAGCCCTTCGGAGAGGTCTCCGTCACCTCACCAGGACGTGAGCAGGAAGACTAAGGGACACGCAGGCCGCAAGGTAACTCTTTGTGCTGGACCCCAGTCGTGGGCGTTTTTGAGACTCACTCTGTTCCATCTGGACAGGATATTCAGTTATTACTGTGCTTTGGTAAAGAACAGTATTAGAGCAATGTTTGAACATCACGATTAAAAGACTGACTTATATTTTGATGTTATTTCAATCCTCCAAAGTGTGTATTCTCTTTAACTTATTTGTTATCATTGATTCATTATATAAAGTGGGATCATCGCTGAAAGCGATGCACAGGATAGACTGGTCTCACTGATTTGCCCATTTCTGTCCTGTAAATATTTTGCTCTGATGATAGTTAGGTCTAGCAATATGGTTATTTAAAAAAAAAAAGTACTGAGGATGCACTGAACATGTAGCAGTGTAGCCTATGGCTGGATTAAAAAAAAATTACACTTAAACACTTAACAAATATATTTCTGACTGTGTGTGTCTGTGTATGTGTGTTTGTACACGGCCATACAGCACCTTGCGCTCTCACACTTTCCAATGAAAAGGTCTCGTGTAGAGGTGGCCACTGTTCAGCCATTTTGTACTGGGCTACCTAAATATATTTTAGAAGCTGTTGGAATAAAAATCTATATGTGAACTGGGTGTTCATATAGATGTTTTTCAAGATGTTTTTCAAGATGTCTGGAAAAAATTTGTTAATTGTTGAAGAATTAATTTGTTATTTGAGGTTATATATATGCTTTCCAGTTCTATTCTTGAAAGATACAAGAATTTTGTATGCCAGAGATGGCCAATAAGTTTTAAGCAGAACAGTAAGGTAATTAAAGATTGTCTTTTACTGTAAGAAGCGTGGGCTATGTTAAAATTTTTTCACTTGCAAGCAAGAGCTGTCACCTACTTTACCTAGGGTAAGGACTTTCTCCTTAATAATTATTATCTTGGCCTGAACCTTTCAGGTCTAGAAATGCAGCTTTCTACAGACCTTGGGAAACAGATCAGATATGTTTGATTGTGCTTAGAGCTGTCATAGATATAGAAAATAAAAGCAAATTTTTAACTCTCTGTAATTGGTTCCATTCAGTTCATAGACAGTACAAATAAGTCTTAGTGCAATCTTTGATAAATGTCTTTATCCTGAGCTCAGGTCAAACAGCCTTTTGGAATTTCAAAACAAACTTCTGGAAAAATGAAAATGCTTAATATAAAACATGAATCTATTTGTTCTACTGTTGACTATTTTTGTTTTCTTCTAGGAAGAACAATTACATAAGAATCATTTGAATGAAGAAAGGTAGGTTAATACCCTGCATCAATGAAATGCATCATCGATAGTGAAATTGATGCTCTTTTTTTCTATTCTGTTTTATTTTTTAAAGAACTTGGATGCACCTGACTGTCTGTTATTAGAAATACACAAGAATGTCTGGTCAAAAGTACAACCCTCTGAATACTCCTTGTCTCTATTGCTCAAGCAAATTAATGACGTTGCTTATGTATTTTTTCTTTTTGATGGAAATTCTTTCACACAGATCTGAATCACCACCTGTTCCAGCAGTTAAGAACAGATTACACCAAGGACAACAAAAACAGACACATACTTCTAATTTCCTGATGCTTAACAATAACAGTAGAAGAGACAAAAGTACCAACATGGACACACAGCAGAGGAGACCCCCTGCTCCACTGACCGACCCTGGGAGGCCTCCCTCTTCCCACTTTGTTCCCTACGTTCGAACAAACGAAGTGTATTGTCTTGATCCAGCTGCACCAGTGACTAGACCTTCGACACACGACCCACAGCATCAACAGTTTAATGGTATTGAAATGTATTGTCAACTGCTTCATGTAGAAGAGAAGAAAGGTTATGAATGTCACTTAGTTCTGAGTGCTACAATTTGCTCAACTTGGTATTTCTTTTTAGTAAACTCTACAGTAACGCAGGTGTGGCACAACAGCATAAAGAAAGTTTATGCATTATAAGTTTTATAGTCTGTATTAAAAATAATAATTAAAAAAACTCACAAAAATCACACCATCAAAAATCACTGTATTAGATTATAGTGTTTGTAATCTAATAAATGTATATTTTCACAAGCCATTATTACTACTTCCAAATTAAAAGCAAATTGCTAAAGAGTATTACTAATTTATTTGATATGTATTTACTTTTAGATTCTTACTCAACATCGCGGCAGATATTTAGCTCTGATCATGTTAGAGATCCTCTTCTGAATCCTGATGTGGTTAAAATCAGAGAGCGACAACAAGCAATTCTCAAGGGATTGTCAGAATTACGCCAGGTAAGTTACTGAACAAACATGAATGTTTTAACATACGTAAGTCAGAATGAACATTGCAAACTACTAGACGTGAGCATTAGCCTTCCATTCATTTCACATCATATTGGTAAGTTATGGCTCTTCTGTTTTTCCTTTTACCTTTAATTTTGTTTTTCGTATGTTTTCGTGTGTTACATCCAGCTTCAGACTCTCCTTAGCTACATATGAGACTGTGAAGCCCCTGAGAAAACTGATACCAAGAGGAATGGCTTTACTAGCCTCCATGTATTGCTAATTAGAGTTGCTTATAATATGGATATTTAAATTTCAAGGGAAAAATAATTTTTTAACCTCATACTAGAGCTTTTGTTAATAAAAGTGTGCTTTACGAGAGCTCATCATACAGAGCTATGCAGCTGCTGCAGACTAGTTAAAGGGGTGGCGCTCACACATCTATCCTGGAAAAATATTCTACTTCACACATTTGGAGTTTGAACATTTATAAAAATCTTTCTAAGATCGCTGTTCCTTTGTTCATGCTTTAAAATTTCTGTTTATGCTTAAAAATTCACGGCAGAGTGTGGCCCACAGCAGATTCAGATTGCAGACCTAAGTCTGCACACAGATTACAGGGACTGTTTCTTTTAATGCTGCTGTGGTCTGGGAGAGAATTGCGAGACAGAACAGAAAGGTTTTCTTTAAGCTTACATTTCTTTCTTTAGGAACATTCAAAAATCCAAACATGTCACTATCTTCTCTGTTTTTTTGAATGGCTCCAAACCAAAAGCAGCGTTTTACTAGTAGTGCCATTCTTCTATGTCCCTAGGCAATAACTTGCATAAATGATGTAAATAAAAGGAATAAAGACTGACAGACTTTGGTGTAACAGAATAGCCAGTGATTAAGTGTCTTAGTTACCTGCAGAGCTTTAGGAAGACCCAGTTCTGCTGTGCACACCAAATACCACAGGAGTGGGGATGAAGGATTGTGGTACTCCTCAAGATGAAGTCATGAGGGGACACAGTGATGGCCTGGTTAAGCTGTAGGTCAAAAAAAATACAAGCACACTAAAAGATTGATAATTTCTAGTGGCTTCCATGTAGCTTGGACTGGATCTGATCTCTCCCAATGCTCATTAACACTCATGTTAATAAACCACAACCTTTAAGTGTTCTGTATCCAGGCTTCATGTGCAAAGGGCATGCTAGTTAAGAGTGAGGCAGCTTCAAAGCACAAAATCGTTTTTCTGGCTGGAATAAACAGAAGCCATGAACACTGATGAGCTTTAAGGTGCTAATATGCACGTTGCCAAACTTGAGACACAAGCTTGGAGGCATTCTTGCTATATAATGTGTGTTCAGGGTTTATACTGGCTGAGAACTAACATTAGTCTTTCAAAGGACCTTGGTTCTAAGAATGAATTAATTTTAATCACATAACGTTCTTTTTCAAATTATCCTAGCAGCAGCAGAATGCATACAGGACATTAACTGTTGAACTCAGATACTCTTCTTATATACTTCTGATGACAGCTGCTTTACATTAGTATTTCATTGTAAAAGGAAAAGTAATGCAGTGCTTTGAATGAAACATAATTTAGATAAAGAAGTCTTTTATTTTCAGGAACTCTGAAGTGATTTCTGAAATCCAAATAGGTGGGAGTGGTCCTTTTGGCTGGGGAAATTCGAAACGTATTTGACCATTTTTAGTCTTTGAAGTACACATCCAGAGTGACAGATAATACCACCAGGGTGGTCCAGTAACATCCTAGCTAGGCCATGCACACCATACAGTAAGAATGGACTATAGGTGACAAAAAAAGAGCCTCCACATTCTTGTCCTCCTTCGCCAAAGGGAGAGAGATGGTGTCAGCGCAGCAGCAAAGTCACCCTTTGTCTTGGCTGCTGCCCTGAAATCTTTTCCTGGGTTTGAGATGATAGCAGTAACAAGAACTACAACAGACTTATTTTCCTCATTTAAATGAAAGTAGTGGAATAAGCTCAAGTTTCCTCATGCAGGAAAAAGAAAAGCCAAAGCTTTATTTTGTAAAGTAGAGCATGTTTTAATAAGGAATGAGAACACTTGCGAGCAGCTTGCAGCCTGCAAGCTTGCAATCTCGCCAGCTACCCGCAGGCCAGCAACGTGCAAAGCTGTTTGTCTTGCTGTTTGTCCCCGTCTATATTCTTTACCTTTCTTTTGTCTAGGCAGATTTTTATCACTTTTGCAAACCATGTGAGCAGAATTTGTTCTGGTTTTCATTTCATCTGGTTATTTGTTCCATCTGGTTACATTGCTGAATCATTTAATTTAAGACAAAATTTATTACCTGCATTTGTGTTGTATCTTGCTACTAATTTCGAAAAACACTTTAGAACAGTGTCAAAAGGACAGAACAAGTTCACTGATCCATTAACACAGTAAATAGCAGTTAATGTTGATAATCTAAGAAAGCAATTCATCCAGTCATTGAAAGTAAGCAGCTGGTGCACTTGGATTGACATAAAATTAAGTACCTCAGGCTTCTTTGCCAGTTTAAACCCACTGGGCATAATCTCACTCCTTTTTTGTCTTACTGAAAATACTACGTCAAAGTTGTAGGAGCACCTGCAGGCTGCTTAAGAAAGGAGAAATACCATAGTAATTCTTACATTCTTCCTAGCAAACTGCTTTTGACTACCAAAATGGAGGGAGAGCAAGGGCCATACACCTGATCCTGTTAATTACAGAGAAGAGTCATAGAATTCTTAAGGTTGGAATAGGGGTTGGAGGGGGTTAGAGGGGTTGAATCCCCTCTGGGGATCATCTAGTCCGACCCCCCTGCACACGCAGGGTCACCTCCAGCACAAGGATCACCTCTCACACAGCCAAGGATACAGTTCCATCTTAACATGAGGTTTAATCATTGCACTGTTTTTACAAGACCCATTAGTAAAGCAGAAAACTTTTGTATAGCAACGTCACAAAAATTTTGCTACTCTTAATAGTTTAGCTGGTAATGCTACCCTTTATGAACTGCTGCTGTTTATGGGTTTAGGTTTGGCTTTTTTATTCAAAAAACACTTCATATCAGAACACGCTAACAGCTTCACAGAGCAGTTGGGATCTGCTCTACCACATTGCTCTCACTTATATCCCTGGAAACGTTAGCACAGGCTTCCACTTTGGAACACAGTTTTTTTGCAAAGACAGGAAATCTTCTGAATAGACTATATTGGATGACATAAATTGCATATTGAAAAAGCTGTGAGCCTAAGTGTTTTCAATGGGTGACACAGTGTCACTATTAGCTGCCGCTGTGAGAACAAGGCCAAACATTCATATTTACATTCCCTTTATTGCAGGGCCTCTTGCAGAAACAGAAGGAGTTGGAGACTAGCTTAATTCCAGCTATAGCACAAGAAGAGATCTTTATTTCCCCACTTTAAAAGGTATACACAAGTAGATTTTACTTTATGTAAAGGCAGAGTACGTTGTCTAATAATTTTTTTTGCTGTTTTAACTTATTACAGAAATTTTGACAGACTATAGGGTCATGTTGTGTTTCAGATTGACAATGTTTTAAACTAATGGTGGGTTCCCTTGTTGAGAATGGCCTTCAGGCTGACTGAAGATATCCATCCACTTAGGAAAAACCACTGTGATATGTCTGTTATTAATAAGAGTGAAAGTATTTGTATTTTGATAAATAAAAAGAATTAAGATGTGTTTTGAAGGGCTTGGCTAGTGTTTTTTGGTATTTTTACCGATATGTCATTGCTTCTACATTAATTATTCAGACAGCTTCTAGGCTTAGACAGTATGTCTATTAACTCAAGTAATCCTGGCTTCTAAGTCCACCAAAATGTGAATTAACTGAATCAAACTTTATTTTTCCTCTCAACTGAAGCAGTACAGCACCACTTACCGCACACTGCACTGGGCTGCAACCAAGGCAGTAGAACTCAGTTTAAGAAAGCTTACTTAAAAACAAGGTCTGGACAGGTCAGTGTTCAAATCTTCCAAACTCAGCTAAATGTTATTTTGGATTCAAAAGATGAGAGAACTCTACGTAAAAGCATTTCTCTTCTAGATAACTGCAGAAGACCCATAATCTGACATCATGTTAGCTGATCTGTGCTTCAGCGTATTTTAAAAATGCCACAGAGCTCCTCCTTCCCAGCAGCAGCTGCTTCTAGACAGAGCCTGAACATGATGATAAATCACAAAACAAGAGTTTAAATAAAGGTAAAACCTTCATCTCTAGGGTTTTTTTTTTTTTTTTTTTTTTAAAGCTACCACACTACCACCTTCCCAATGGTATTTGTCCTAAATAAAAATGGCAACATACACGTTATAAGAATCATATTGGTTTTGTAATAAGCATGAAACATCAGATATTAAACACACAAGATTGCTGTTCCTGAAATAGTTTGTGTATACTTTATGTATTTGGAAAACAATATAAAAACACAGACAATGCAAATTGTTAACAAGTTCCTTGTGCATTAAGAGTTTATTTTGTAATGGAACTGCACCATTGGTTATTTTAATTGAGGTATTTAGCCAAAATCCAGTATATTTTCATTAAAATAACTACACTGCCTTATAGTATGTAAAAACACTTGTACAAAATTTGTGTCAAATGTCAAATAAATACATAAATTTTGATATTTATGTAAAGGGATTTGGATACTATTACAATTAAAAAAATTGCTGTTTCACATATTTTAGGCAAACATTCAACTTTACATTAGAACAGACTTCAAACTGAAGCCCAAGTACAAGAAAAATACAAATGTAGAAACTTAAAAGTGCCAACAAACAAGATAATTCAAGTACAATAAATGTTAAAAAATATATATTTATTTCAGTTTTCAGATGCTTTCAACAAGTACAGGCCATCATGATTTAAATAAGACAAGAAAACATTTGAGATAAAGGGAAAGAAACATTTTGTTCCAGAATAAAATAGAAATTGTTAATCCACCATTTTAGAAACAGAAAAGTCCACAGCAACTTATAAAAAGATACTTGTGAATTTATTTCTGTTTTGAATATGGCCTGGAAGAGTCCCAATTTCTATCCCAGCTACCAGGCAATGACGATTTTTCCATGTCCATGCTCTGACTGCAATCAGATAAGTAACTGCCCCCTTCTTGGCTTTGACTTGTAGAAATTGGGTATGTTGTTCCCAGAAAAGTCTGATGAGTGAGTACATTAAAGTGACTGAATTGATGGGACATGTTTAATTGTCTGCTATAAAATTGCAAGTTATTGAAAGGAACTTGTTCCACTGAATTGTGTTTTTCTCCTTCAGCAGAGCATATTGTAGAAACTGGTATAATTGGTAGTATCCCCTCCAAGTCAATTTTAGAAGTCTCTTCCACCAAACCAGTTTGTGCTTCAGGAGACACCTCTGTAACAGATATGCAGCTTCCTTTTGAAACTAGTCCCTTGGCCTCTCTCTGCAAAGCTTCAAAATGAGTATCATACTTAGAGGCATCATTGCAGATTTCTATTTGTGATGTTTCATCCCCTGAATCCAGAGACATGTCCTCATCCTTTTCATCGTTTGCTACAAGAACTACATTAGAAAAAGAGAGAAGTCCTATTCTACTGAAATACAAACTTTTATTAAAAAAGCTATACACTACTCACAGAGTGTTACGCTTCAGGTCTGTAAGTCCAATATCACTTAAGTCTTGGTCTTCTGCACTCTTGTTCACTTACTCAACATACACACTTAACCCTCTGTGTGAGTGTCCAGTTACTCCGATGCTAAAAGCTTCTGCGCACTGTGTTCATGTTTAGTGTTGGGAAATCCCAACTCCCAGCTCCAAAGGGGTTAATGTCAAAACAGCATCTAAAGTTATACAGTAGGTCAGTATTTGATCAGACAATTAAAGGACTACAATTACTGGCATTTCAGTCCTTAGTTTCTAAAACACTATGATTAAGCTTATCCCTTCCTGTAAACAGGACAGAATGCCACTTTGGCACTCGTCTACCTTCTCAGATACCATGTTAGACTGTAATTATGTATTTAAAATCTCTTTTGGCATTCCATCCCGGCTGCTTTCCCCATCACTTAAAATAGAAAAGAGTAGCTTGAGAGTTGGGTTTTCCTTGCCCTCTGTAGTGTTCTTTTACAGGAACAGCAAAGCCACAGTTTCAAAGACCTCCACCCCATACATCTAAATAGACAGGGAAAAAGCTTTATTGCTTGTAATATTACCTGATTGTCTTTCGTGAACATCAGAGGGAGGGAGGCTGTTTTCTTCAGTAACTGAGTTGTGATACCCAACAAGACTTCTAAAATTTTGCATTAAGTCATCCACAGTTGCAACTACTATTCCATTGTCAGCATAACTGGAAAGTGTTTTGAGGTTCTTTTCTAAATGCATAGAAGGAGATTTTATATTAGTGTGTGCCACTTGGCTTCCTTCCTGAATGCCAAGTTTCTGTATTTTACTTTTTACCTGTTAAGAAGACAACATGTCTCTGTTGTATATTTTGAGCCTGGAGCCTGATAAGACAGTCTAATTCTGGAGCATTTCGAGTTTGAGAATCACAGTTATGGTAAGAAAGAATTTCAACCAAGTGCTTCTTTTGATAGGTATTCAAAAGTGTCAGCAGACTCAGGGCATTAGCATTCATTCTGAAATAGAAACCCATTATTGAAGAGGTACTTGATTTAAGGTCAGTCTTAAATGCAGACCAAGAGATGAACATAACATTGAGTTCTATTTTATTAGATTTTTTAGAACATAATTTAAAAACAGAATCATTTTATCTGCTGGTATTTGAAGAACACTGCTTACCTCCCCAGCTCTTTAAGTTTTTTATGTATTTTGCAGTGGACTTTCCACTGCCATTTTCCATCAGGAGTATTGAGATCCTCAAGAAACTTCAAGAACTGTTTTAGTTTATCTGTTTTGGAAATATTTGAAATAAAAGTTAAATTTTGTGGTACAAAAGTCAAAAAAACTACGTAAGTGCATACATAAAAAGCTATTCTTGCAGTTACTATCTTTAGTAGTTGCACAGACATGAACATTACCTCCAGTTCTTTAGGTTTTCTTCTTCCTAGCAGGTCAAGTTATTGACCATATTCCAAAACTGAGTCTTTTTTTTTGGTAGGTCAGATCCATACCACTGGTGGCTACTTACATAAAAGTTGAGTTCTACCATGCATGATCTCTGTGGCTAATACCAGCTTCTTATAAATCATCACTCCATTTTAAAGTGTTTTTCCAGTATTTTTGGCTAGATTATTTATGGACAAAGAATAAAAGGTTGCTATGCAGAACTACACAGTCTTAACACAGAAAGGAAAGACCAGGTTGCTTAATAATTACCATAGTCTCCAAGTTCACATGTTCTCCAGAAATGTTCTCCAAAACAAAAGCCAATCAATGAGGTAAGAAAGACACTATACTAGCTCTGCAAAAAACGCTTGGAATAGTGTCTTTGATAACTATCTGATGGCGAAGTTAATTCTTCACTCCTCTGAACAGAGCCTCTTGGTCAAATGCTGAAATTGAAACTTAATAAGGCAAAGAAAGAAGACGACACGCACGCTGCCAGCCCTACTTACCTACTGTGATGGACTCTGGATTAAGGACAGATTCATCTGACACAATAAAACCCCCAGACACAAACAATTCATTGTAAGTGTGATTTTTCACATCATCCAAGCTATCGACACCCGCAAAGCTGACACAAGAAAGCCTCTTCAAAGTTACCAAGCCAGGTATCTGTTTAAGAATGTTTCAAATCACAGATGTGTAAGCAAGGAAAATAAAATAAATACATCATAAAAGAAAACGGAAGAATTTTTCTCTGCTACCTAAAATATCAAATACTAAGCATCAAACTTCAAAATACATTTTCTGAGTTACTATTTTGGACCTTCTGTCCAATATGTGCTCATAACCCACAGATGTCAGGAATACCTTGTCACTGGACAGCTGCCTTCACTTGCCACATGAGCATCACAGAACTAGAAGTAAAACTAATTCAGCCTCTATATGTATAAACTACACGTTGGCATAACTAGCAAGAATAAATATGCATTAAAACATGTATTTGGAAGCAGGTAACATTGTTTCATGATGTAGCAAGCAAGACTAGATACTGTTACCACCAGTTTTGTTTTTCACAAAGCAACTAAACATAGCTCTTTCTTTAAATGCTATGAGAAAATAATCTTATTCAAAATGAGTTCCCCTTACTGTATTTTAGCAGGCATTCTTTACAGCACTCCTTTATTTGTGAATTACCTTATGGATGAGGTTGGCAATGTCTTCATTTTGAATAATTATCAACAGTTTATCTAGCGCAGCTCTTCTTATAAGGAACTGTTCTGGACAGCACTCTGTATTACCTAGTTTTGTCAGATACTCCTATACCAGAGAGGGGTTGGTGAAGAAGAAGCAAAAAGGTGGTTAGACCAAAACAATCCCACAATGGTTTTCCATTCAAATGCAACTCAGGGACTGCTTTTCTTGTCTTTCTGATATATTAACAAGAAATACATAGTGATATAAAAATAGGCTGCTTTAGCTAAAGTCCTTCTTACAGAATAGCACATTAAGGGGCCACTGACGGCCTACCAAACCTGCACAAGTTCTCAAATAAAAACAGAAATTACTATTATTTCACTTGTAACTTTAGTCTTATATAAAAGACAGCAACCTCAATAAATTACCAAAACTCTTAATTAGGAAAAATTAAGAGATATGTGCAAGCTAAGTAAGACTAGCTTGAAATCTCGAAAATGAAACAGGACAGCCTAGTTTGGCGATTCAATCAAAAATCTTCTTTTGAAGCAAATTTCTAACCATGTTCGCAAGTCCAATCTTGTGCATTCTCATTTGAAACACCCTGCATATCCTTATATTTTAACATGTACTTAGGATGCACTAGAAAGTATTTACCTTGATTTCTTTGCAGAGTGTGCTTTCCTCCTCTTCATGAATATAAAATTTCACAGTGTTCTTCTGTACATCTTTAATAATTTTGACCAAACTGTTAAATACTTCAGGTTTTAACTGGCTTATAAAATCAGAAAGGGCTGGTTGAGTTGAAATGCTTAAGTTCTCTGGGGATTTCTCAGTCTTTTCTGGTGGCTCTATCAGATCACCACTGGAAGATGTCTGATCAGATGTCAACTCATCCTCTATTTTGGCATTCGCACGATCCAATTCCTCCTTTCCTAAGGGCAAGCTTGATGAACACTGCTTGCCAGTATCTGCATCCTTCACATTATTGCACAAAGGTTCTGATGACAACGCCGTGCCCAAGTCCCTGCCAGCCGGCAGGGCTTCTGATGGAAGAGTCAGGGCTGGGGCAGTAACCACATCTGCACTCTCAGGACTGGAATTCACTGGTGGGAGATGCCTGCTGCATGAAGAGGACAAAATAACACTGTTCAGCTTCTCACTCAGTCTCTCTATATATTCTTGGACAGAAATCTCTGAAGCCTGTAAACACAGGTATTCAGAAAGTCTCGTTATCCTCTCTTGAGCTGAGAAGACCGGTGTGGACATTCCACTGACATACGCAATATTCTTTTGCTGCAAAATTTCCTGAATCTTTCTTGCAAAGAGATTATATTCTTCTAATAGTGTAGTCTCTATTATTGCACTTATGGAATGCTTAGCAGTAAAAGGCTGATCCGATAGCCCACACTGATCGTCAAGTGTTTCCACTTGTCTTGTATGAAGTCCATCTTCTGCTGTCTCCTTTTGCGTGTCTTCAAAGTCAGAGTATGAAAACTGATAATCAGAACTTCTCTGTCTATTTATGACCCGGGGGTCATTAGGAAAAGCATCCTTTGGCTGTATATACACCGGTGATTCCTCTGGTGATTTCAGACCTATATAGAGAGAGTCAATCATTATCATCTCATATTTGAAAAACGGACAGTAATATGTGATTGATAAAAACATGGAAAGGCAGTTTTCAGATGGTATTAGTCCCACCCCCCACTCAATTTAAGTATACAAAACAAGTAGCTGAGAATCTAGAAAATCTCTCATACCATACAGCAACAAATTCAAAGTTTGCTCAGAAAAGCAGGATGCAAGCAATTCTTCCAGAGATGACATTAACCACAGCAGCAGGGTGACAAATTGAGATATTTCATTTAGCTGCCAGACAGTAATCCTGAGACTTCCAGAAAGTATATTTAGCCACACACCACCTTAGAGAATTAAACTGCAAATTTAAAATCCTGTATGTCCAACCTCACAAATCAGAAGCTTTTTGCATAAACATGTTTGATACAAATCTTACGATACTTATTGATCCGCAGTATGCTGTAACCTCAGAGATCATTTCTGCCAGCCAGTTTACCACCTGCATTCAAAACTTTGTTAAATTTGCTTCAAAAAAAAACCATACTTCCTGATCTTCATACTGTGAAAGTTTTAAGACATATTCAGATATTTATATGTATTTCTGCATGTATGTGTTTCATAAATATTTTGCTAAAGGGAAAGCTAAAGGGAAAAAATCTGCCACTAAGAAGATGCCCTCTTGAGGGCCACAGTGGCAGCTTGTAGACATTTTATGCCATTAGAGAGAAACCAAAAATGTGGTTTCTCTTCTTTAATCAAGGAAACTAAGGGCTTTTCCTTCACCCTTCAAAACAGATTCATCAAATAAATTTTTAGGTTTCTTTAAAAGCAAAGATAAATCAGGTCATTCAAATTAGTTCTATTTATTTTACTTTGAACCTGGTTTTCTGTTGCTGTCCTTCATTGTTGACATTTGCATATTCAAGTATTCTAGCTGTAAAAGACTTGGAAGTGTGTTCCAAATCATAATGTTAACAGTAAACTCAGTTTAACCTACCTTGAGACACAAGGTGCTAAAGAATAGATTGTTTCTCATTCTTCTTGATCTGCTTGACACTTACAAGCTATATCACTATTGTCTTCAAGAAATATTGTACTACTGTACTTAACAGAATAGAAAGTTCATCTATTAAAGCACAATGTATGGTTTTGAATACATCCTTCCTTAGTCATGCCTGGTGTAACCAGCTATGTCAGAGAAGTTAGAAAAATGACAACCTGAACACAATCTTGGAAAGAAAGGCTATTTCACAGCTGCCAAAGAAAGCTACTGTCCTTGCAGACATCTTCAAAGCTTTTAAATGAGGTCATTCTACAGTGACTCCAGAGAGAGAGAGAGTTCTTGGGCATTTTTGTTTTGAAATCAGAAACTCAAATAATACCTGACAAGAAAGCTTAGAGCATTCTGTTTCTTAGTATGCAAGATCAATGTTCATCAAACTTATTACTGCATTAGTCTTCTCTTGCATGACAAGGAAGAACATGCAAGAACAAATTCTGGGCTGAATGTCTGAAGCCAAAAATCATTCCCATGCATTTGCTGGGACACACGGGCACTACCTACCTTTAGAAGCATAGCTCCGGTTTGCTTGCGATTGTCAGAAGTTTACATCATGTAAGCACGAAGCAACGAACAATGACATGGCACAGTAGTAGCCCCGAAGAGCTGAGGACCTACGACTAACTCTACTCGGACCTTTCCCGAGGCGTAATCAGGGCAGCAACAAGATAAGCTCCCCATCAAGCCAAAAGCTACAGAGAGTGAAGTTCTCAGAATAAGTTCAGCTGAATATGACCTCTGTGTTAGAAGTAGAACATATTTCTCTTTAAAAAAGATGAAAACGAGAGATTGCTAATTTGCGTAATTGTGTAAAGATGGAGAGGTAAGACTGATATTCTCAGAATTCCCTTCTACAGATACCCTGCTACAACCAAGAGGAACAGGCAAGTCACCAGATGTACAGAGCCAGAAAAGAACAGCAGCTTCCTCTAAATTAGACCACTGAATAGATCATAAATTCCTTGGGATGAAAACTCAAGGGCTCTTGATACAGGAAGAGATGCCAAATAAAATCGGGCACCAGTAGCCTAAAATTTTAAAGGCTCTTCTGACCCTCCTAGAGCCTTCTTGATGTAATTCAATAAAATGAATTCATTCCCTGAAGGCCATATTACTGATCTCATCCTAAGTGTTCTAAAGAGAATTCCACAGTAGGTGCGATATTAGCTGCTTGGTACTTTAGGCCATAATGACATATGCAAAAAACATCCACTCTTCTCACCTGTTTGCTTATCTTCATGCTTTTCCAGTTGATCCTCTTGACCTCTTCCTGCCCCTCCTGAAGGAGAGCAGCAGTTAGCATTTGTAGACTTTCTAGGTATTTATACAGTACCTTTTACACGATCATACTGCAGATACTAGTCAGTACTTATTGTAGTAAGAGCTAATTTGAAGAAGTGATCTCCTTAAGAAACTTAAGAAATCCAGCAATGCCCTAGTCTTTTACACCTCTGGAGAACAGCAGACTTTAAAGCAGACTTCAGAGAAAACTTTACTTTCTAGTAAGAATGGCAAAGTGCAAGCACCTCTCAGATGACTGTGCAAAGTGGCAACAGTCAAACCCTTGTGCTAACTCCTACATCCATGTGAATTTTTGAGCTGCGTAATCATCCGCTTTGCTTGTTACTTCTGCCATCTTATGTTTGCCATTTCCTCCAAGAGCAAAAGAAACATATTCTACCCAAGCAACTTTACAGTCTTGATTACTTAGCAAAATGACAGGACAGATATTTATGTTCAACATGAAGAAGCTGCAGATGCGATCCAAAATTTCCCAACCATTTCTCTGAAAGCTCTATGAATACTATGGAGGGAAAGGTATTTCCCCTGCTCTCCTCCCCTCTCAGGCATGGAGGGAAAAAAAAAAGAAAAAAGAAAAAGAAGAAACCTGCAGAACAACACAGCAGGATGGATATGAAAAGAGCATAAAAGAGATTCCAGTATTTCTAGAAGATTATCAGAAATTAGGCACTTTTTACTCAGTCTGTAAAGTTAAACCCTTCTATCTTGGATTGGTCATAAGAGGGCTTTGATTTCCAGCTGCGAATTTAGAACTCCTGATGATTGCTCCTATCAACCAGTCTCCACACCATCCAAATACATCCTGTTAAGTCTTCCTAAGAATTGATTCTGTTGACTCATCAAGTAGTAGAGTAGCAGAACAGAAACTTTTTTATAATATTCAAGAAATAAAAGTTTACATAAAGACAAAGACCACATAGCACTTCTAAAAGAAGAACTCGATGCAGTAAGAAGTGGACTACTTTGTATATGGATAACACATGCTTTGCATATGGATGACTTTTTTCATGATTTTTCTAAATTAGTAGTTGAAATTATACTGAAAGGTCCAAGTTCAAACACCAAGTTCAGAATAGCTGCATACCTTGACTGATAAATACATAAGAATCAGCATTCCTGAATGGTCAATATGTACCCAAAACAAAACGTATCAACCGGTACCTGAAATGTTTTCATCCAGGACATTTCCAAGCTATTCGAATATTAGAAACAACTGCACAGTAGGTCATATACTTGTGTACCAAAACACGAGACCCAAGAATGGGATGAGAGATACAAACCTTTAGAAAACAATTTGTTGCACCATGTGCAGCAACGTAAGAGTTAATCACCCTCTTACCTGTAATGGGAATAAGTTTCCAGTGCATCCCAATTTCTCCTGTGCTATTTGAGTTGGAATGTTGCCTGCGATAACTATGTTCTATAGGTGTACTGGGGCAGGGACTGTATTCTTCAAAACTACTAACACTTCCAGTGCTTGCTTCCTAAAAAACAACAAAATTTCAGTTCAGAACTGGTTTTGCTTATTTAGTTATCAAGCTTACAAACACTAAACAGATGAACAATAAGAATGTGCCAGAGTTTACCAGTGTAATGGAAATCAGCCAAGTCAAGCCAGGTCAAAGACAGAAGTATTGAAATCAGGTTTCATTTTCCTATTCAATAGTTTGACATAGACATCTTTGCTGATCATCTATCAGTAAGTCCTAAGTCTTAGAGAACAGAATTGGAAGAGGAATAGAGAGAGGAGGGAAAGGTAGTGTAAGAAAACACTGAAGCTGCAGCTTAGCCTATTTTTTTAGAGCTATCAAGCTATGAAACGGTGGTATTTTTGAGAAACTGCCTGTAACTACATCCTTGAACGATCCAATTTCATCTTGAATTCCAGATAGTTAAAAGTTCTCACAGCAAATAGCATCACTTACAGTGAAGGCAGAGTCTTTCCTGCTCAGTGACTTAGAAACTGGGCTTTAGGTAGAAGTACCACCCATAGAGACCATAAAATAACTCCTCTGTCACATGAATATCACCGAATAGCAGGGCAATGGGGAACTCTTGAGCCCTGAACTCAGGAGTTTTTTTTGAAAGGCGGGCCTCACAGTTCTATGAAACATGGTGAGCGTGCATGGAACACAGCTACCCCACAGTGCTCAACATCTACATCATCGTATCTACACAAGAAAGCCCTTCTGCTAGGCACATGCCAGCAATTCTTTCTCAGTCACACACTGAAACAAGCACATTATCTTTTCCTCAGCACACAGCCAAAAAATGCTCACTTTAGTGTCATGCAAGAGAATGCCACTTGGTACCCCTGTGAAATGCCTGCTCCTTTGTGCTATGTCACAGAGAGTCTCCATTGTGGAGAGGCTGGGCCATGAGCAACTTCCAAAAACTGGAGCTGGGGCTGCAATCAGAGCAAATGTATGCTTGATGCTTAGGGTGGAAAATCATGAAGAATCACCCTTCAATACTGCTGACAGAAAAGGTCACTAACTTGCAAAGAGTTAAGACTAAGAAATTTAGGAGTGAACTGCTGCTAACCCACTCCACCACCTTTCTTAAATATGAGAGAGCTTATTTAGTTCCAAGGACAACTGACTGACTTTTGGCAATCTGCTCCCTCAAGACAAGGGACAGGTATCACTAAAAGGAAGCCCAACTCTCACTCTGCTTCTTTAGAACAACCATTGCAAACCCGTGCAGAAGGATGTTTTAAGTCACCGCCAGGCAGCTCTAAACACCAAATACAGAATGCAGTTTCACCTCCTTCTCTTTCTTACTTGAGTGGAAAAAGGTCTCGAAAATACTCTGCCTGGGACTGATAAATTTATTTTTGATTTGTATTTTGCAGGAAGAAGGAGGAAGAATTCCAGACTTCTAAACTTGGAGAGAGATGATGTCAACTTAGCTCTGGCAGGAGCCTGGTCCCTAAAACAGTTCCAAACAACAGAAATAAGAAAATATGTCTTTTCTGTGACTTTAGATGGGACATAATCGTAACAGTAAGTCTGATGTAGCCAAATTGCCTCTGTATCGCCTCTGTAAAAAGACTAAGAGGGGAAATCCCAGAGGAACTGAATAATGATGAAGAGCACTGAACCATGCCACAGTTGTCATCCACCTGTCATCTTTTCAGTGGGGTGAGGTGTCAGAAATCACAACCAGCTAGTAACAGTCAACCGTGAATGGCGTGTCCCAGGACCATTACACCAAGAGGGCTCATGTGGAACAGCAGTTGCTTCCGCCTTCCACTGTCCAGAAAAATAACAGCAAAGCAACTAACTGCAGAAGATGCTCTCAAACGTCTCCTTACTTTGTTTCAGGTACAGGAATCCCCAACACTCTACCTAGATCAAGAATTAGCCCAAAGGATGGAAGAAGCCAGAAAGACAGGATGCAAACTCATTTATGGGTAATGCTGTAACTGCTTCATTAAACCACCTGGTAAGCAAGGCCAGAATATCTGATTTTCATGAGTTAAAAAAAAAAAAAAAAAAAAAAACTTCAAGACTTTGGTCTCAGCAAACATGTAAAGATTATGATATAGCACATTCAGTAACAGGTAAATTTTGTTGCCTGCTGCTACAGTACCAGGTATGATAGTTACCAAAAAGCTGTGTGAGGAAGACTGGCCAGTTTGCTTTGTATCTTTCTGGTATTCTCAGTTAAAGCTTCTTACAGAAAGAAGAGACATAAAGAATCAGGAATATCTTTCACAATAAAAAAAAAAAAAAGTATTTTCTGTATAAAACCCTGTCAAGCAAAATTATCATCACAAAAAATCAGTACTTATTGGTTTTTTGATGCAACAAAATAGAAGTTTTTTCATTCATTCTGATATCTATGAAAAATAGTACACTTGTTACTACCCACATGGCAGTTTCACTTACTTGCATATGTAGCATATGTTCAAGGCCTACTTCATTAGCTGGAAGCCGCAGATCAACATCAACAGGGTAGGGGAAACATGCTGCATCAGTGTCCAGTATCAGTGGGCTCTGTGGGTCCTTAAAGTTAACATTTTCAGCCTGAGCAGTATTAGGAAGCTCATGACCATCTTTGTCTTGTGCTGGAATGGATTCATATTCATATTTTTGTCTCGTATCCTCTTCAATGTCATCATCAGTGCTTAATCCTAAAGCTTGATTTACAGACTGTGCCAACGATGAATCCAAGCGTCCTGCACTAGCTAGTGTTTCTAATAGCACTTTAACGAGGCCATGTGTGTCAGTAACCGCAGGGTCAGATACATCTTGCAGCCTCAAGTCAGTATCATGTCCACCAAGACCAGTAATAACTGAGAAAACAGAGTGTGGCAATTCCGAGGTTCTGCCCCCTTGGGGTCGGGGAGAAGGGGAAAAATAATCCATTACTAAGTTTTAAGATAAAAGCAAAACCAAACCCCCGAACACCTACCACCATTTCACTTTTTCGTATCAGTTCATACAACACACATTATGCTCTTCGTACCTATTTTCAGTGGGGAAGGAAAGAAGGCAGTTTCTAGAGCTGAAAGTCTATCCCAGATTAAATAATTACATTCCTTCCAATCACTCAACACCACGCTATTTTGTATTTAATTTTGCACTCACATCCTATGAACTACATTTTTTACAGCAATTTTGGACAATAGTCCCTCACTTACGGCGAGAATAAGATTTGAACAAAATATTCACCTGTCTCCTCTATCATTATCACTCCAAAAGCTGCTGAGTAACTGAATGCTTAATCTCTCCAACTTGTTTTAGACTAAACATAACTATAAATCTTTACCATTACTTTTTAACACCAAACACAACCTAGAAACAGAGTTGTTATTCTTCTGCTAATCTCCTTTTCTTACCTTTTCTTATAAAATCAAGGTCATTTTCTTTGAAAGAGATAGGCCAAAGAATTACTTTAAATCTTTGATTAACCCCTAAATTCACGTATCAAATACAGAGTGATTTCAGTGCTGACTAATTAAAAAACTGCTTATGCATGTAAAAAACTGCATGTTACATAACCTCAC